TTCTTTGCTCCATCGATCAGATTCCCGAGGTCGCGCATGTCCAGCAGCAGATACGCCCTTGCTAGATGCCCTCCTTCGTTACCCTCTGCATTCTAACAGTCGGAGATACTTTTCCTCATCTTTCCCTCAAGCTCCATCAACCCCTGCTCCAAATATTCCAACCTCTCTGTTGATTTTGTAGCGATTCCTTTCCACTCGTTGATTGCTTCCATGTCCACTTTATGCTGCTCCAAATGCTTGGCTTCAAACTCAAAAACCCTTTTGCGCAACATCCTGCATTTGACTTGTGCTTCAGCAGCATCGTCTATGACCCTATTCCTCAAATTAATCCCTGGCTTCACGTCCCCCGCTATATGATCTACCAACCATGATGGATAGAAGTACACATGGCCGGCATGATACCGATCTGGCTCGATGGTATCTTTCTCCACAATGATCTTCTGATGCCACATATGATGTGCCTCGAACTTGAATGGAATGGTATTCCCTTTGAAGTCTGCTTTGTACTGAATCATGTTGGAAACTCGAGGTATAACCTGCTTCCTCCCAGCTTGCCTCATAACCCTTATAGGAGTATAAGGATAGATCCCCCTCAATTCGATTAGAACTAGATGAGAAGCCTCTCTCGACCTGATGATGAACTCGCTGTCGGGAACCATTCGACATCCAGTGCACTTTTTCATCAGTCAGATTACTGAACAAATGTACCCAGCTCACAGCATTTTTCGGTTGCGCAAATCTGTTTGGGATAAAAGTCATTTTCTTCGGATAGTGATAGGCTATGTGGTCATTCCATGGTCGTCTCGGAAGTTCTTGACGGTATTCGCCTCTCTAAAAGTGTTCTAAAAAACATATTTGCAGCAACAGATTCCAACCCTCGAAGTGCCCATACCCCTTTTTGCAATGGTCTAAGGCCCGGTACATCTCAGCCAAAATCATAGAGACAATAGTGTAAGTTTTCCCCTCAATTCCCTCCATTAAAGTCCTAGCGACCATAGCTAGGCGGGTGTGGATCCTTTCTCCATTCATTGGAAATATCAGCATCCCCAGCAAACAGACAATGAATACAGAAACCCGATGGTGTGTCCAACCCAGAAAAGTGATGGCAAGCTCATCATGGTAAAGGCGATATGACTTGTTGTGCCCATAACGCTCATAAACGAAATCGAATGGTATGTAAGATTTCTTCAGATAGACTAACCCATCATTTTTCTTGAGACCCATCATTTTCAGGAAACCTCGAGAAGTGTGGTTTTTCGGTACCAACAAACTAGGGCTATCCCATGGGAGTCCAGCGAAGCCTCCTGTTTCTTTTAAAAGGGGAGTCATTTCTATGTCACCAAAACGGAAGATGGCTCTCTTCTCATCCTAGAACATGGTGGCGGCCTCAATTAACGTATTGTTTGGCTGAATGTCTAATAAAGAAGGTAAATTCCTGAGGACTCTTTTCACATGATTTTTGTCACTTCGTGAGAGATTTTTCCACCAATCTAGCAGCAAAGGTAGGATATTTTGAATCATGCCGAACCTGGGGACTTCATGCCTCATTTCTGCAAAACAATAAAGTGAGCCCTTTTGCCCTCCAAATTTTGGCTATTTACACATTAATGATCAACATATTGGCATGTTTTCTCCAAATAATGCACAGATCGTGATTGTGTCCATTGGGATTACGGAAATCTCGGTGGACTTTGGACAAGGCTTGCCTTAGCGGGTTATCATGCGGACAACTTTCTAACCTTTACTACGTTTGGACATGATGCATGCATAATTAATATTAAAGTGGGGGTTTCTAGAAGAGTCTAGACCGGTACCCTCAAGCGGACAACTTGAGAGAGAAAGGCACGGAACCATCGACTGCACCGCTGATCGACTAGTTTTACCGCAAATAAGCCTTTCCAAATTTAAAGGGTGATTTAGGAAGAGCGCGGACACTCATCAAGTGCCGCTATGGTATTAATTAGGCACGAGTGGAATATGATGTGGAGCATGCTTTATGCAAAGATAAAACAACACGTTGTCAAATATTTAGCATGATGAAAGCAGTAAATGAAACGTAAAGACATAAAAAGAAAGGAAAACAAGAAGAAGTTAGTTCGCGCAATGTGGAAGCTGTAATAAAATAAGCGAGGGAGTAAGGGTGGGGAGAGACATGATGTAGCAATTCTTAAAAAAAAACTTAGAGCAGGCAAACATGACTAGAAATAAAGGAAAACGCATGTTATAACCAAGTTGAGCAGAGATTTGCATATTAATACGAATTCAAATAAAAGGGAGAACGGGGGAAAGGGTGTGCATGAAGCAATAAAAGGGAAAGGGGAGCAGGATATTCATGTAACAACAAAAACAATAAAAGACACGTTTGTCAGAGAAGACTAATTCATACAAATCAAATTTGTTATGGTAAGAGCCTAAAAATATCCCCAGCAGAGTCGCCATGCTATCGCGCCCTTTTTCTCGCAAAATCGGGTTTCTACATGTGACAACTCTTATAAAGGAGGTGTTAAAAGATGAGAGTCGCCACCTAACGGGTTTAAGGTGCATTAGGGCATCTATTTGCATATGACTCGGATTTAACTAGTTTGCATCACCAAAGATCAGGTAAGGGCTCAAATTACCTTGAAGAGAAGGTATTATGCACTCTTTGAGGTCCACAACAGTGGGTCCCGTCCGAACTTGAATTATATGAATTAGTCAAATAAACAGAGAGAAAACAAGAAGTTTAGGCGGTTTATTATTAAAAGACTTTGAATAAAAACAGACACTTGATTCAGAGATAAAATGGGGGGGGGGGGGTCCTAAGTTTTTTAGCCTAAAGGATCACCCCGTGCAACATAAATAATACTTCGTAACTCCCTCGAGATGGGGTGTTACTCGTATTATGCAGTGGGCACAGACTATCATCTCCTGCTACCCGATTACTATCTTTAAGTTTTTTACCTAAAGCGCACTAGTTGATTCTAAATCGTGCCTTATGCGTGCACTACCCATCCCATGCTTATGGTCAAGGAGGCTTTGTACCTACTATTTGGATAGTTCTAGACTTTACTCAGGTTGCTAAAAATGATAAATCTAAGCGACATTCAAAACATGTAGGACTGCACATAAAGACAATATATGGCTCAAGTTGGCCTCCACATGTAAGCAACAAATACACGCAAACAGGTGAGGCAGTAGACAAATTTTAGAATTAAGATGAAGTGGAGTCCTTAAATCCTATAGCCATGGCTTCAATGTGATTCTGAATTTTAAGCATACAGGCGGTGTTGCTTTCTTAGGACAACAAATTCGCAGATCGTAGGTATTACAAATCCTATAGGCATGCTTTCTAAATCGTTTGCGCAATAAGACAGTGAAATAGTTGATAGCTCAAAATTGCCAGCATTGACTTTATCAGCATACTTTCTAGGCGAGCAACAAGATCTTATAGGCAAGATTTCTAGGAATTGGCCATTGAGACTGATTCTTTATCCTTTTATCCTTATAGGCATGCTTTCTAGGCGAGCAATATGATGAGAATAATAGTAGCCAACTCAATTATATTTCTATAGGCATGATATCTACACGAATACTATGAAGAGCAGGTATTTATTACTCAATGTGATCCTATAGGCATGATATCTAACATAAAGTAATTTGAACAAATAATCACCATGTTGCAACATAATAAGCAGATAATAACGTGTGGGAATGGAACATGTGAAATATTTATGTCCTATAGGCATGTCATCTATCAAACACATAGAAATAGAGCATGTTCAGCAAAATTAAACACTCAGATCCTATAGGCAGGATTTCTACCCTTTCATGCAAATATTAGAATAGAATAACTATAGTAGGCCTAAGACAGGCTCAAAATGTACTCCGCTCAGCCAGACCTTTGTCTCCACCCAGATTTCAACATAGCCCAAGAACCATAAGAGAACTTGGCCAAACCCAATAGCCATAGTTTGATCATAGGATCCAGGAAAAACAATCAATTTGCACATTCGGTAGGTAGAAAGAGGGGCAGGATTGAGTAATCAGAAAAAATGGCCAAAGAGCCTTAGACCCTAGTGTGTCAGAGTTCACAAGGGTCTCAAAGTGGACTCCGAGCAGTGTTCACACTAGGGAGGTTAATAGAGAAGTTCTTAGGGGGCCTTGGCTTTCAGCCGGCCAAGAATTATAGGCTCAGAGTTAGGGAAGCAACCAATGAAAATAGTAGTAGATTAACAGGGTTTGGAAGAGCGCATTTGCATTTTTTAGAAATAGACATTACAAAGTGATCTCATAATCAACACAGCGGGTGCATAAACTCAAGAAACAAGTTAATGCTGCAAGTTTTCACTTAACACATTGGGGCAGGGTACCTTTGTAAGAAGCAAGGAGTCTTAAACTTCTGGGATTACAAAGTTAATAGGCAAAGAAGTATTAGGCCAGTAAGACAAACAGTTATCACTAAATCACCAAGTTCAAACCTAAAGGATCAAATTATGCTAAACACAGAGATTAAACAGTACAACTTGTATCAGCAAGGCAAATAGAATCACATACTATAGGGGAAACAAGTCAAGAAAAACTAGTCTAATATAATTAGCTGTTAGGGGTGCAGAATTGGTAGGGTAAGGACATACTAAGTGACAAACATAGCCATAGGAGAAAATTACAGCTAGAGTGAAGGTTTTAACATATTAGGGCATACTAATGATATAAATTAATCACTATAGAAATTCAGAATAAGGCAGGAAACAGGATGAGGCCATATAGCCAATGCAAACACTCAAATTACCAATACATTAAGCTAAACATGCTTCAAACTGTCCAAATTGCCTAAGTTAAATTCAAATACATTTTTAGGACTAATGGTTTAGGCGTGAGTCAATGCTAGAGAGGTTTATATCATAATAGAATCACACATTAAGAGAGTCGAGAAATTACATCAAGTCACGCAATTTCAGAAACATGGATATGCTAATTAGAACATAAGAGGATGAACATTGCGAAGGTTGAGAACTAACCAGTTATTGCTCAACAGCTAGACAAACAAGAAAAGAACAGCAATATGACCCAGAATCACAGATGCGTTATGTTCCCAAAGGCTTCAAATAACCTAGGGCAGTGCTCACACCCAAGGAAGATCGGAAAATAAGAAATCTGGTGGCCTTGGCTTTCAGCTGGCCAAGAGCCAAAATAGAACAAGAGAATAAACGAACACGGAGTGAAAAGCCTTAGTTTTTTCAGTGGAAAATTTTAGCGATTCCAAGTCTGCCTAAAAGGGATTGAGGGAGGGGTTTATATAGTAGTAAAAATCGAGCAATAATCAAGGAAAATGAGTAATTCAAGCAAAAAACAAGGTAAATAAACATGCAAAATGATCTAAAAATCAATTTAAGAGAAAGACCTGTAAACCCTAGCTTTTAGGGAAAGTGAAAATTGGCTGAATCGAAATAAAAAATTGAACTCACACAGTAGCGTAGAACGTATATAGACAGAATAGCGTTCAAAATCAGATATTTGAACCATTTTGGTTCGATTTCAGAAGAGATTTGCTTGTCATGTTTAGGCAAGCACCTAAGTAATACCATAATAGAACAACCAGTACCAAAAGGGGTCAGATATGGCAAGAAATGGTAGTCGAATCCCATGGTTGGTGGATTTGGAGAAGGTTTTAAGGGGGCGGCGATCGGGGTTTAGTTGAAGAAGAAGGGGGGTTGAGAGTGTGTGAGGGCGGCGGATTAGAGGGGAATGATTAGGGTTTGGGGGTGATGATATAATTCAAAGGGAGGAATTAATAAGGGTCGTTGATCTTGAGAGATCAACGACCAAGATTAAAAGTTGGAACGGGCGGGTCATGGAGATAGGGCACCGGCCGGGTCTAGAGGGTTGGGTTATTTTGATTTGGGCTGGGGTATTTGGGCTAGGATTGTGAGGGTTTTGGGCCATTTACTTGGTCCGAAATTAGTTTAAAAGTGGGGCTGTTATTTAAATACCCAATATTAATCAAAAATAATTTGTAAAAGTAATTAATAAATAACAAAAATATTATTTGTGCATTAAAATGATTGAAAATAATAACTTAACATTATAAAAAATATAAAAAGTTATTTTGGCACAAATAATGTAATTATATATGAATATAGGCTATTATTGCAAAAATGTGCAACTAGCCTAAAAATACAAATGTAATTATGAAACATGAAGTAAAATATTTAAAAGCATACATGTTGGTGTAAATAATAAGTATGGATGATTAATCATCATAAAAAAATAATTTGAAGGATAATTATTGGATATTTATATAATAAAATGCGGAAAGAAATTAATTTAGGGTTTTTAAAGATTATGAAAAATTATGAAAAATGCTTGTATAGGTTTGAAAACTAAATGATGATGCAAATATGCTATTTTGAAGGTATACATACATTTTCTTTTTCAAATATGAGGGAAAAATTGGGTATCAATAGCGGAAACTTCATCGCACCTGCGCCTTCTGCCCAGCTCCTCCAATCTCGCATCTGCGATCCTCCGCTCGCTTCTGCGGGCTCGCACCTGCGATGAGACATCCGCAGGTGCGATTATGATAGTTAAGTTCCAACTTCAGCAACTCCTCCAATTTCCAAACTTGTTCCGTTAATCACTCGAAATCAACCCGAGGCCCTCGGGACCTCAACCGAACATACCAACAAGTCATATAACCCCATACAAACTTAGTCGAGCCTTCGAATCACACATAAAAACATCAAAACACCAAATTACCCTCGGATTCAAGCCTAAGAACTTCTAAACTTCCAAATTCCGCAAACGACGCCGAAACCTACCAAACCACGTCCAAATGACCTCAAATTTTACAAACATGTCACAAATGACACCACAAACCTATTCCAACTTCCAAAAATCCATTCCGACCCCGATATTAAATTTTCCACTACTGACCGAAATCGCCAAATTTTTAACTTTCGCCAATTCAAGCCTAATTCTACTATGAACCTCCAAATCACATTCCGGACGCGCGCTCCTAAGTTCAAAATCACCTAACAGAGCTAACGGAATCATCAAAATTCAAATACGATATTGTTTACACATAAGTCAACATCCGGTCAACTTTTTCCAACTTAAACCTTCTCCTAAGGACTAAGTGTCTCACTTCACTCCAAAAGAACACAAAAGAAGCAGGAAATGGGAGAATATGGCTATAACTCTCGAAACGACCGGCTGGGTCGTTACAATAATACCTGCCACTAAAAGCTTGACAATCTCCTTTTTTACCACTCCCTGCATTGCAGGATTCAATCTCATTTGGGGTTGGATTATTGGCTTGTAGCTATCCTCCATGAGGATTCTATGCGTACCAATTACTAGATTAATCCCTTTAATATCTTCTACAGTCCACCCTAAAGCTCTTTTATGTGCTTGTAAGACTAGAATAAGTCTTTCTTCTTGTTCTGCAGTCAAAGAAGATGAAATAATTACTGGAAATAATTCTTGATCAAGATAAACATATTTTAAATGAGAAGGGAGAACTTTGAGTTCAATTTTCGGTTGAACTTCTTATATTTGCATATCTTTATCCTTAGAATCGTTTTCCAGTCTTTCAGCTTCTTTCCTAATTGTGGGATCATGATCTTGTTTAGTACCTGGTTTTGTCACACATCTTTCCATTGAGTCAGAAACTAATTGATCATCTTTGTATTCATCTGCAAGATCACTAATCATGTCAATAGAAAAATATAAAGATGATGCCTCATCTCCTGAACATCTTAGTATCTTTTACATATCAAAAATGACTTTTCTTCGTCAACTCTCAAAATTAGTTTTCCTTGATGAACATCTATGATTGCTCTTCCTGTGGCAAGAAATGGTCTACCCAAAATTATCAGTTCATCAGGACATTCTTTCATTTCAAGTACTATAGAATCTATTGGGAAAACAAACTATCTACTTTTACAAGCACATTTTCAATTATTCCCTTAGGTTTCTTAGTACTTTGATCTCCAAACTGAAGAGAAACACCTATGTCCTTCATTTCATCAAGTTCGAATTTTCTAAAGATAGAAAATGGCATCAAATTTATTGAAGCCTCAGAATCACAAAGGGCTTTCCCAAAATATACTCCTCCCAAAGTGCATGGAATGGTAAAACTGCCAGGATCACCAAGTTTTTGTGGTAGCTTATTTTGAATTATAGCACTGTATTTTTCAGTAAGCATTACCACAGAAACTTCTTCCAATATCCTTTTGCTTGACAAATTTTCTTTTAAAAATTTAGCATATGAAGGCATTTGCAACAAAGCATCATTGAAAACAATATAAATATGAATCTATTTTATGATTTCCAAAAATATTACAAATTGACCATCAAGCTTATCTCGCTTCAGTTTTTGTGGAAAAAGAATTGTCACAGGTGGGGCGGTCATTTTTTCAAAAAAAATTTCTTCCTTATTTTTTGTTTCTTTCAACTTGTTTTTCAATATTCAATATTCTTACCCTCGTCTACCTATTGTTCTGTATTGTTCTTTTCTTATATGTCTGTATAAGGTTCATCAAGTTCCTTACCTGACTATAAAGTCATAGCCTTATGGTGTTTTTTTGGGCTTTTCTCTTTGTTTCTTGGTAAGGGACCCTGAATCTTTTATGACACATGATTTGCCAGTTGGCTTAATTGAACTCCTAGATTTTTTAGGGCTGAATTTTGGCTTTTCATTTTTTCATCAGTGACTTTAATTGTAACGACCTGACCGATTGTTTTACTTTGTAGGTCCCCGTTCCCCTAACTAAGACTTCCCGTATGTGCTTTTACTATTTTATGACTTGTGGAGATGGTTAGTTCGGGTTGAAATCGGAACACTTAGTTCCTTAATAGTAGCCTGTATTGGTTAAGTTTGACTTGAGTCAATATTTTGAGAAACGGCCTCGGAATCGGGATTTGATAGTCCCAATAGGTTTGTATAATGATTTTTGGACTTGGGCGTGTGTTCGGATCAAGTTTCGGATGACTCGGGAGCGTTTCAACGCTTAATATTGAAAGTTGGCGCATTGAAGGTTTTCCAAGTTCATTAAGTTTGGTTTGGAGTGGACTTTGGTATTATTGAGGTCCTTTTGGGGTTCCGAGACTGGAAATAGTTCCGTATGGTGATTTATTCTTGCATGCAAAATTTGGCATCATCCCGAGTTGATTTGATAGGAATCGTGTTTTTAGAAGTTTTGAGTTTCATGATTTAATTCATGCGTTTTGGCATCCGATTTGTGCTTTTAGATGTTTCGATCATGTGAGCGAGTTCGTATGAAGTTTCTAGACTTGTGTGGATATTTGGTGTGGAGTCCCGAGTGCTCGGGTGAGTTTCGAACGTGTTCGGAGGGGTGGAAGGACTTCTGTTTTTTTTTCTAGGCTGGTGCTGCAGGTATTGCAAATGCGAAGTTTTGTTTGCATTTGCGAGCTTGCATTTCGAGGAACCATTCGCATTTGCGAAGTTAGGTAGGCACTGAGGATTTCGCATTTGCTAAGATCCTGCCGCTTTTGTGAACTGCTCCTCTTCGTATTTCCGAAGTTTTGGTGGCATTTGCGACCATGGCAGAGCTGGACAACCTTCGCATTTGTCACGACCCATAATCCAGCTAGTCGTGATGGCACCTAACCTAACCCATTAGGTAAGCCAATTAACAACTATCCAATTTAATGAGATTTATTAAGAGAAGAAATGAAATTATAACTGCTTTATACAAAGAATTTCCCAAGTAATATAATAAAAGTGGTACAAGAAAATAACTCAGATATAAGATGCTCAACTCGTTCACAGTTACGGAAAATAGGCATGTTTTTCAAGTATAACAGTAAATCCCAAATCTTTCGCCGAAAACACCAAAAACATATGAGTAAGTTTGAAAACTGTGATTTTTCCCAAAACCTTACAACAATATATAAGATATTTCATTTTCAAATAGCACGGGGAAGATATATCTCTATGCCTACATGTCAATATGCAGGTGAAATCATGAATGTCACCAAAATCGGGTAGCAGAAGGAAATGCATCTCTATGCATGTATCTCAAGTACGCATGTCAACTGCAATGCATCTCAGTGATGAACTCATGTACTCACACTCTCGGAGTACTCAATCTCACTGTCTCACACTTTCCAGTCATCACGCTCGATCACTCGACACACTCAGTCACTCAGTACTGTAAGGGCAGATCCACCCCAAACATAATAATTGCTAGCAATCGCGCCCACTGTGGATGTGTAGACTCCGAAGGGGCCGATCCTTCCCAAGCGCTATAATAAGCCAAATCCTGGCATGAATCAATAAGGCCAGATCCGCACGGATAACTCACGTGCTCACGAACAAATCACGTGCTATAGTATCAATATCTGGATCTGCATGGACAACTCATGTGCTGCACGGACAACTCACGTGCTATAGTGTCAATATCTGGATCCGTACAGACAACTCACGTGCTATAGTATCAATATCCTCACAATCAGGCTCTCGGCCTCACTCAGTCATCAATCTCCCTAGTCTCTCAGGCTCACAATGTCATGAAAAATCAGCCCAAAATGATGATGTGATGTATCAATAAATGGTAACAGAGACTGAGATATGATATGCAAAGGAATGCGTATGACTGAGTATGTAATTGCAATGTTAACAAATACCTCAACAACAGAAATGATCTCAGTGGGTCCCAACAGGATAAGCATATATGTTTCTAACATAGATCACAACTCAATTACTCTAGCACGTAGAGACTCCATAGATACAAATAATATTAGGTAACTACACAGTACCACAAAAATAACCGAGTCACAATTCATATGGTGCACGCCCACACGCCCGTCACCTAGCATGTGCGTCACCTCAACACCAAACACATGTCATGTATATTCAGGGGCTCATACCCTCAGCACCAAGTTTAGTAGTGTTACTTACCTCGAACAAGCAAAATCCAATAATGAGCAAGCCTAACGATGCTCCAAAAATGCCATCCCGCGCGTACCGACCTCCGAACGACTCGGAACTAGCCAAAAGCGACTCAAGAACATCAAATAATGCCTAAGGAACAATTCCAAATGATAAAGGGAGAATCTTTAATCAAAGGCCCACAATCGACCAAAAGGTCAAACTTGGGCCCGCGCCTCGGAACCCGACAAAATATAAAATCCAACAACCCATTCAATTACGAGTCCAACCATACTAGTTTCATTCAAATCTGACTCCGAATCGATGTTCAAAACTCAAAAATTCACTCCATGAAACTTTAGACAAAACCCCCCAAATTTTCTCTTTTAAATTAATAATCCAATTACCAAAAATGAAGATAGATTCACGAAACAATCAAAACCAAGTTTTGAACACTTACCCCAATTCTTGTGATGAAATTTGCCTCCAAAATCGTTCAAATCCGAGATCCCCAACTCAAAATGAGCAAAAATATCGAACCTTCGAATGTAAAGGATCTATCTAGGTCTCTTCGCACCTGCGACAATAGGCTCCGCTCCTGCGCAATCGCAGGTGCGAACCAACTTCAGCACCCGTGCTGTCTCTCGCTTCTGCGCCCATTTTCCCCGCTTCTACGAAGTCGCAGATGCGACTCAAATTCCGCACCTGCAAAGACTCGAGCCCAATCCTCTTTCGCTTCTGCGATGACACTGCCGCTTTTGTGGCTCCGTACCTCCGTCCATAGCTCCGCAGGTACGGTCACACCAGAACCTCTGCCAAACCAACCTTAGCCGAAATTTCCAAAATGATCTGCACCTCGTCCAAAACTTATCCATGCCACTCAGGACCCCATCCGAATATACTAACAGGTTCCATAACATAACACGGACCTACTCGAGGCCTCAAATCACACATAACAACATCAAAACGATAAGTCACACCTCAAATCAAACCTAATGAACTTTAAATTTTTCAACTTCCAAATCTCGTGCCGAACCATGTCAAATCAACTCGGAATGAACTCAAATTTTGCACACAAGTCCCAAATGACATATCGAAGCTATTCCAATTTTCAGAACCACAATCCGAATCCGATATCCTCAAAGTCAACTCCCGGTCAAACTTTTAAACTTTCCAAACCTTCAAATTTCCAACTTTCGCCAATTAGCACCGAAACCTTCTAGAAATATCTAAATGCAAATGCGGGTATACGCCCGAGTCCAAAATCACCATTCGATCCTAATGGAACCACCAAAACTCCATTCCGGGGCCAAATTCACGAAAGTCAAACTTGGTAAGCTCTTCCAACTTAAAGCTTCAATAATGAAATTCATCCTTCCAAATCGATTCCGAATAACCTGAAAACCAAAACCGACGATTCACACAAGCCATGATACATCATACTGAATTACTCATGCCCTCAAACTACCGAGCGAAGTACAAATGCTCAAAACGACCGGTCGGGTCGTTACATTCTCCCCACTTAAACATGTGTTCATCCTCGAACGTGCCAAGAGTCATTTCAAAGCCATCAGATCGCCATGTAACCTTACCATGCACATAACCAGGGTGATCCCACGTCGCTCTAATCTATATAATCTTGACGACACAACCTAGCAGACAATCCTTAACTCAACTTGAGCCCGTAACCTTAAAATCCAATTTTTCAACACCCAGAATTTCCTATAAGACCCGAATCCCGCATCTGCACACTGTATAAGTCTGAACACGCTGCATCAAGCCATAACCATCACCCAAGATACAATCACGTGATATACCACATAACTCGAATACTCATAGAAATAATTTCTAATCACCGTAGCCGTAGCTACTCGATAACCCACCCAATAGCAGTAACAAACCTCATATCAAACAAAACCTCGCTCTAAAACCTTTATACATTGCCGATGATGAATGAAACACGCAGAAACTCATAACCACTTATCAGATCAACAAGTCATGGAACACTCCCTCCTTCGACAAGAACTATAGCCAATTTCTAAGCTGACTTCTGATATTATTCTCCCAAATACACCGCAATAAGATCCGATAGCACCCATTCTAGGTCCGACGACCTCATCTTATCAAATATAGCCGCCCTGCTGACATGCCACACCAATACAACCTTAAGCCACAATTCGTGCCATCCATGCACCAATACGCAACAATTCAAGTGTACTCAAACATAGGAAATGAAACAAATAAGAGAACCGTCCCGCAAGTTCAACAAGTACCACCATAACCGCAATGCCATGAGTCCATCATACATAGTAGAACCATGACCCACGAATCTAACACGAAGGATCATATCTCAACATAACTCCGCTACAATGCGTGACCCCATC